TAAACTTTTGTTAAGTTTAGATTATCGATTGTTTCATCGTACGTTATCATATACCGTTATGGATCACAGTACACTCATCGTATAATAACTTTCTCTTATGCAACTAAATTTGTGTTTATCATCATATGTTAATAGTACAGTCATTTTGTGTCATCTAAAAACACTGCATATCTTTTCATCTACTTATTCACATGTGAATAGGAATAACAAAAAGAAAAGGTATAATGTTATGAGGATTAAAATAAGCCTAATTGATCGGTTATTTTGACCAAGTCTAAAAACAGACTGATTCAATTTGATTATGTTGACCAAGTCTAGATGCAATATTAATTAGTGAGGGATTGAGATTGGATTTCTAAGTTTAGGATATGATTAATGCAATGTGCAACTTGGTTCATTTTGATCATGACTATAAATTATAATCGTAAACTTGTTTACAATGGTAACATGTTTAATTTTAGATCTCAACCTCGACATTTTCAGATCAAGAAAAATAATACTTTATACATAAAATATTTATTAAGTAATAATAACATGTTTGAATCGTTCATATTTAATGAAATTTAAACTTCAAACGAATTAATACCGACAAATAGTGATGGCCAAACTGGTTCTGGACTGCTGGAGGACCGGTTATAGGACTGCCGACCGGGACCAGTTATAATTTTGGAGGGCTGTGAGTGACCGGCCCTGGTTATGGGCCTGACCTGATTTTTAAGAAAGTTGCATTTTTTTTTATAAAATATAGTTGTTATATGACCGTTTATGACCGTAATTTGGTCTTTTTTGCCCTCTAATCCCTATATATAAGTGTCATTGTTGAAGGATTTACATACCAACTTACAAAACGCAAAAAAAACATTCACAATTCTTGGTTTTAATTTTAATAAAACGTATTTTTAAAGTGTATTTGAGTAACTCAATTACAAATTTTATAATGTATTAAAAAATCTATCATTAAAAGTTAAAAAAAAAATTGGTCGGGACCGGGACCGGGACCGGTAGAGCATAACCGGTTATAGGAATGCTTAACCTGTTTAGTATTTTCGACCAGGTTCGGTTATGACCGGCACTGTTAAAGCCTATGACCGGTTTTTGGCTATCACTACCTACAAACAATTTGTGATTTTTTTTTGGGTTTTGAGGTTGCTTACATGCTTGGATGTGAGTCGTAATTATTCCTGCATATAGAAACAGATATAAGAAATTAATTGGAACAAATACGTCATTGTTTTTTAAAATATACTAAAATTTAAAATCTTATTTCAGTTCTTACTTGTAGATATCTGAATATGTAAGAATAATCAACATTATCAGTATTAAGTTTTGTGTTATTGACACTTGTACATACTCGATATTCTCAATTTTCAAATGTTCCGGCATTAAAGTACAAGTGGTAAAACTCGAATTTTTGAGAAATAACAGAGTATTAAGAAACTAATAGATATCCTTTATCTTTTGTCTGATAAAAGGACGGTACGAGATATTGAGCTCGTATAGCAGGGAAAAAAAAACAATTTACCCAATAAACTTTTATCATAGTAAGAGTTGTCGTCTTCACTTACCGAGTAAGACTATTGGTCCTTGTCACATTCATTTAGTAAAGTAATATGACTTGATAACTGCTTACCCAGATAAATGTTTGGTAAACCACCCCTAAATAATGCGTTTATAAACCCACCGTCATACTATTTGCCATAAAAAAAACACGAAGCTTCACTGGGTTCTACATCACACGTCTTCCTCTCATATACTTGACTCTTTCAACTTTAAAAAATTGATAACATTCAAAACTAATTTATTTATGATATAAGAAATACAAATAAAATTATTATCATAGGAAATTGACTTTTGTGAGATCGATCAAGTCACAAAAGTTTGCTATAACTGTTGTAAATAGTGTCATGTTTAAAGGTGTTCTAATATCAGATATATAATAGGGCTTACGAGTTTTTTGAAGTCCGATTGTACATGTTTCAGTATTTGTCCCATTACATATGTTTTAACATTTAACTCGTTACAATGTTTTATATTTAGGGGCTGTTTGTTTACATATTAATAGTTCTATTGAAAGACATCATCTGAATTGCTTAAGAAATGAATTTTGTTTGTTAAAAAAAAAATTCTGCTCATTAATGGTTCTAAAACCCTTTGAACGATTTTGTATATTAGGCTCTTTTAACCATTCAGCACCCTAATTTTCTTTTTAACAATTACCAAACAATTATATTTTATTTTGCATTATATCATAAGGGTTTCTTAATCATTTTGTATCAAATAATTCAACAACTGTCAAACAGTCCCTTAATCTTTTTAAATAATTGGCAGCATCTGATATTGGCTTCCAAATAATTAGAGTATATAATTCAAATTAAATGAATTTTATGTGTTATGTTGTCGTGTTTGTTGTTTTAATTTGTAAAAGAATTTAATATAATATACGATCATAATTTTTATGTTTTATTTTATTTAATACTCGTTTGTCGATATTTTTTGTTACAAGTGTATCGGAGCCTACTAATGCATTACAACATCAATTTGAGAATGTTTTCGGGTTTAGATTATAGGGTTTCTAACATCTAGTGTTTAAATTCGAAAGCGTAAGAAGATGTAATAGTAAATAAACAGTTTTAAATAACGATTAACAAAATATGGTATATTTTAATTCATGAATCTACATTGGGAACAACCTAATTAGAAAGGAATATAAGGATTAATTGTCAAACTTGCCTCGATTGTTGACTTTAGTTGCATCATCCTATTTAATTTCAACTCAATTGCTAATATATATATATATATATATAATACGTTTTAAATGCAATTTATCACATTTGTATAACCAATGCAACTCAATCAATTGAAATATTTATAGAAATATTGAGAGTTCATTTATTATAATTTGAATATTTATGGAAGATAACTAGAGTTCATGAATTATGATCAATACTTTATATTATAAAACAATCAAAATTTTTATCAAATCACATATTCATCAAAATAAATGGATGGTTGAGACTAAATTGTATTGATTGTACAAATATAAATAGTTGCATAATAACTCACCTAGACTTGAGATTATATGAGACCAAGGGTTTTTCTTGAGACCCGTAAGACCAATTCTCAACCCTTGGATTAGACTTACAATCTCAACATTCATAATCACAAAATTGTCACGAGACTTCTCAATAATTACAAAATTGTCACCGTGCAACTTTAGACCATTAGATCATTAGCTTATAAAGTTGATCAATGAACATAAATTGGTCTCACGGATCTCATAAAACACCATTGGTCTCACGTGAACTATATATATATATATATATATATATATATATATATATATATATATAGGGTTGGGTTCACGTGAGACCAATGATTTTTCGTGAGACCCGTAAGACCAATTTATGTTCATTAATCAAATTTATGAATTAATGATCTAATGGTTGCAAAGTTGTAAGATGGCAATTTCGTAATTAGCGAGAAGTTTCGTGGCGTTTATAAATGTTCAGATCTGACGATTGTAAATCTAATACAAGGGTTGAGAATTGGTCTTACGGGTCTCACGAAAAACCATTGGTCTCACATGATCCCAAGTTTATATATATATATATATATATATATATATATATATGGTTCACGTGAGACAAGACTATTTTTATAAGACACGTGAAACACGATTTTTACACTTGAAATTTTACAACATTTTGCTGTAAAGTTTCAATTGTAAAAATCGCATCTCACAAAAACAGTCTATCTCACATTATCCCAAATACAAAAATAATCGTATCTTACTATTATTTCTAATTTATTTAACAATTTATGAAAAATACTATTTTTATGTGCTTTGGAGGCATAATTTTATTATCTTAATTAATTATATTTTTATATGGTAAATTGTATTTTGTTTTTGGTGGAATTTTGCAGACATAAAGACAATTTATAAAAAGGAAAACGATCATATATTCATAAATCGATGCCACGAACCGACAATATTCTTATTTTTATTTAAATTATATTAATTAATTTGCAAAAACAACATTCTCTACTGCAACGTGGATACTGCCATTCTAGACATTACAAAATTCCCTATATACGTAATACATATTTAAAACTTTCTTTTTATTTACAATTTTTAAACATATTAAATAAAAATTATAAAATTTTTAATAATGGTTTTAAGACTATATAACTAAATGATATAGCAGGTATATATATATATATATATATATATATATATATGCGACGAATTTGGTGTAATAATAAAAAATTTGAGAATGAATATTAAAGATTAATTAAAGGAGATATTAATTTGAATAAACCAACATGTTCACAACTCTCTAAATTCTCATCGTGATCAAATGAACATACGATTTTCCATCATTTCTTCAATATTTTTTAAATCGAAAAATAGATTCAATTCAATGATTTTTATTTATTTTTGATAATTTATAATTAATTATATAATTAAAATATGAAATAAATTTAATGTACAACAAATAAACTCACACACCCTTCTTATATTTGATGAGGTTTGAACCTCTGAACTATTAAAAGGTCAAAGACTCACATACCACTAGTTTAAAAGCCTTTTGTTCAATTGAAAATTCTTTATTTATTACGAATAAACTACGTTTTTAATCCCATAGTTTGTGAAAATTTCAATTTTCATCCTATATTTTTAGAATTATGATTTTCATTCATATGATTTTCAATCCATTCTTGTTTGCATTCCTTATACCGCGTAAGAGTTAGCCTCAAGGACAACAATATACAAACCATAAGGATGAAAACTGAAGTTTTAAAACTGTATAAATGAAAATTGTAAACTTTAACAAACCACAAGGACTAAAAACGTAACTTTTACTCTTTTTTTCTTTTAAATATTAGAGATTATGTTTATACCCTTCCCATGCATTACGTTGACTTCGAAACCCATTTTCACCTCTATAAATTCCCACCATCCCAATCTCACCACCATCATCCTAATTAAGCTTCCATCAATGGCTTCCACTTACATTTCTAACCTCCTCTTCTTCTCTTCTCTCCTCCTCCTCATATGCTCCTCCTCCGCCCAGTCCTCCGGTGCCGCCGTCTGTAACGACACCCCATACCCATCTTTCTGTCGAACATCTCTCCCGATCAACAACTCCTCCGCCAACCTCCACGACTATGGCCGTTTTTCCATCCGTAAATCCATCGCCACCGCCACCAAATTCTCAAACGCCATCGATAAATACCTTACCACCACCTCCGGTTTGACCATGGCTGCAATCCGTGCACTTCAAGATTGCCAGTATTTGGCCCGATTAAACGTTGACTTCCTTTCAAACACTTACCAAACAGTCAACGCCGGCCAGACCTCCCTTCCGGCAACCAAGTCGGAAGAAGATCAGACGATGCTTAGTGCCATTTTGACCAATACCCAGACGTGCATAGATGGCCTGCAAGCCAATGCTGCTTCTTGGACCTCCAAAAATGACATCGTGGCTACCATGCAAAATGATGACAAATTGTTTAGTGTTTCACTTGCCCTTTTTAACAAAGGATGGGGAGGTAATGTTGGAATTTTGGTTTTACGAGAAGCCTTGTTGTCCCGTGTAGGAGCCTCATAGAATTTTTTTTATTAACTTGGATATCTAGCCCGCTATGCGAGCTGACTAATCTCAGGACGACCACATGTTTTGCAGATAGTCCAGAGTCACTGTATTTGAACTTCCGTGACCATAACGGAATTTTAATTCCTCCTTGGATTTGAACATGAGACTTCCTGATACTTTTGACCTTTGGAGTCAAGTTCAAACCAATCAGTCACCACCATTATGGTTGCCTCATAGGAAATTTAACCCACTCAATAAACACCGACCCTTAATTGAGCATTAGATGAATCATTTAAGGGTTTGAGCCTTGGTGTGTGAGTGTTGATGGTGGGCTTTCCTTCATACACATATATACATACATGCACACACATACATATATATACAAAGAGAGGGAGGTTTAGGGACGGTATGCACATGTATATAGAAGTAATTGAAATTGTTTCTCTGTTTTAGTGCAAATGTGCACACACGACATGAATTTGTATGCACATGTGCATACCGTCCAGATGAACAATTATCAATGTGTTTCTTATAACTTTTTCATTTTTAAGTCTTACTTTGAACCTGATCCTATATATATGATTGATTACTCCTAACAGGTAAAAGATCCAGTTTCGGCTTTTCGAATAACAAACATACCGGATTCAAAAACGGACGGTTGCCACCTTTTAAAATGTCTGAAGAATCGAAGGCGGTGTTTGAGACGGTTGGTCGGAGAAAGCTTCTTCAGGCGGGTGCCGCCGGAAATCAGGTGGTTGTAAGCAATATCGTGGTGGTCAGGCAAGACGGCTCTGGGAACTTCACCACCATTACTGACGCCATTAACTTTGCTCCCAACAATTCTGCCTCCTCTGCCGGCTATTTCCTGATTTATGTGACCGCCGGTGTGTATGAAGAGTACGTCAACATTCCCAAGAACAAAAAGTACCTGATGATGATCGGAGATGGTATTAATCAGACGGTGATTACCGGAAATCACAGCGTCGCCGATGGCTGGACGACTTTCAATTCAGCAACATTCAGTAAGTATATATATTTTAACTACCACTGCACATAAATATTAACTAGTTGATAAGTGGTTGATGAATAAGTTATATTTTAATTAAAAAAATTAATTAATAAGTTAACTGAAAAATATAAAATTATTAAAAAATATATAATATAATTAAAATAATTCTTAATAATAATATAAAATTTTGTAAGTGAAAATATTATGTTTATGAATATATACAAAATTTGTAAATGAAATTTTTTTGTTTATGATTCACATTTTTCATATGTTAATTTGCAGTCGTGGTGGCTCCCAACTTTGTGGCGGTCAACATAACCATCCGGAACACCGCCGGAGCAGTAAAACACCAAGCCGTCGCATTAAGAAACGGCGCCGACTTATCGGCGTTCTACCGTTGCAGCTTCGAAGGGTATCAAGACACACTATACACACATTCCCTCCGTCAATTCTACCGAGAATGCGACATTTCCGGCACCGTCGACTTCATATTCGGAAACGCAGCCGTCGTGTTTCAAAACTGTAACATGTATCCACGGTTACCAATGTCCGGCCAATTCAACGCCGTCACAGCTCAGGGAAGAACCGATCCCGGCCAGAACACCGGAACTTCGATTCAAAAGTGTAACATCCGGCCAGCTGATGATTTGGCGTCGAGCGGTGGTTCAACGAAAACGTATTTGGGGCGGCCATGGAAGGAGTATTCTCGAACAGTTTACATGCAAACTTTTATGGATTCGTTGATTACTCCGGCGGGATGGTCGATATGGTCCGGTGATTTTGCATTGAATACTTCGTATTATGCCGAGTTTAATAACTCCGGGCCGGGATCGGATACTAGTCAGAGAGTTACTTGGCCGGGATTTCATGTTATCGATGCTACGGTTGCGGTTAATTTCACGGCATCGGTTTTCATCCCCGGCGATGACTTTTTGCCTCAGACCGGTGTGCCTTATGATGGTGGGTTATGATCTCATAATTGAATTATCATATATATATATATATATATATATATATATTGTGTATGTATTCATTATGCATTGTCTATGAAGATATTTGCAATATGAACACAAGGATATGATCACATTTATATTATCATGCAAAAGAATCTTTATTGATTATTTGAATTTCGTTTTACTGGTTGTATTATAATACTCTACTTTAAAACATTTAATAAAAATTCTTAAAAATCATTCTTTATATATAAAGTAATGTTTATTAACATATATTACTTAAAATTCAAGATAACAAAGTAAACTGTGTAAGTTAACTTCAGGGCCGGTCCTATGATTTTTGATGCCCTGTGCGAAAATTATAAAAAATGCCCCTAAGCCTATATTTTTAAGTCAATGAAACAACGAAACATGCGATTTTTTAAAAAGTTTAGAACCTATTCAAGCTAAGTATTTGATTCCAATGTTGATTTTTATTAATTATAATTAAAAAAATACGATGAAGGGGACATAAAATCCAAAACCCTAAATACAAGATATAAAATGATAAATCTTGGATTAAGATCGTACTTCCTTCTTTTCCAGTTTTTCCTTTTCCAAATTAAAATTAACAAAATAGAAACTTTATTTCAATATATGGAACTTATCTTAACTATAATTAGTTTTTAACTAAAATAGTAAATTACATCCAAAGTTTTGTCATTAAGCAAAAAATAAAACTTAAAAGTTACATATCTAACGACTAGTAAGTTTAATGGAACTAACAGTTTATTCACTCAACTATGCATGACTGTTTCGTAGTGGCTTAATAATATAGAAAGTGACTTATCCAGTAAGCTTTTAGGGGGAGCTTTATATAGAAAGCCAATTTTTTTTCCTTCTAAACATGTCCTTTTCAACTAAAAAACGCTCCTTACATCTGCGAAAAACTCTCTCAAACAAAAACTTTTTCAACTTATACAAACCGATTAATTCATACAGACAACTTTATACAAACAAAAACTTTTCCGACTTTCCAACTCCAACGTTGTGCATTCAGTATTCATCACTGTTTTTATAGTTAAAGTTCAGTTGTCCAATTCTCAAATTATTAAACTCAAAACTAGTAATAAACGACAATTTGATGCCCCTTTAGGCTTTGATGCCCTGTGCGACCGCACGGGCTGCACGTGGCCAGGGCCGGCCCTGGTTAACTTATTAAAGTTTCATGTTTGAATTTCTGTAACTAACGATAGATAAACATAATCAAATACATAATAAACATCTCATTTTAAATATAAAAAACCTAAAATATACTTAGAATAATTATTGAGTTTTAACAGAATATTTAATTATTATCTTTATAAAAAATTATATAATTAAATCTAAATTAAATTACTTTCTTATGTTAAATTAAATTATAATAAAAAAATTAAATTAAAGAAATTACACAAAAAATAACTTTTAAATAGTTAAATTGATATTAATATCGATATAGTTTTTTCAAATTTTTATAATATTTTCAAAATTTATAATATTTTCAAATTTGTATTTATCCAAAATAAAAACATTATCGTTTTCTTAAAACCACATAAAATCGTATTATATCGACATAGATAAAGAATAAAACAAAACATTGAAATCGAGATGCGTTTCGATGCATTTCACGAGTACCCTTCTAGTATACTATAAAGTATATGGTTAAACTCTTTAAAAGAGTTTTTAACTTTTGAAGTAATGTTTAATGATTCATATTATTTTAAATTTTAAATTTGAAGTAGATAGTATAATGATACAACTTTTTAAGTTATATGCTTTAATTGATATAACTAACTCATAAACATAATCAATAAATGATAAACATCTCATTTTAAATATAAAAAATCTACAATATAATTAGAATAATCATTGAGTTTTAACATAATACTTTATTATTATCTTTATAAAATGGTTTGGTATTTGTTGATAGGGCATGTATATATGTTAGAGGGTACGGTGAGGGTCAATAGTTGCATCGACACTAATAAGCTCGTACCCAGTGGAACACTTTCTCAGTTAACGTTGATAAATAACTGCTGAATCCTTATTGCATAACCTTAAAAATTAGGGAGTTGTTTGGTTGGTTTTCCTATATGAAAAATGATCTGGGTAAATTAATCTATCTTTATAGATTGGAAATGTTTTTGTTCGATATGGTTTTTTTTTTCATAGATGGAATAAACATGTTTTAGAAAAACTTGGTTTTCTCTGTAAAGCTGAATAAGTACTTTCAATATCATTAAGCCGTTATTAAATATTCGTTTATAGCTAATTAAATAAGTTGTAGGTCTTATTAAACTCGTTAAGCCGCTAACAAACAGTTAAACTTTTATATATTTTTAATTTATTTAATTCAGAATTTAGTAAATTTTCAAATCCCTTACCCTTAAATTTCCGGTATATAAATCCATGTAATCTGCTTCATCATCATCATCATCATCGTCTTAATTAATTAAGCTTTCTTAAATTCCCATCCCATCCATCAATGGCTGATTCCACTTCCATTCCTAACTTCATTTTCTTCTCTTCTCTCCTTCTGTCCATATCCTCCACCACCACCACCGTCGCCACCACCGCTTCCGTCTGCAAAGACACCCCATACCCATCCTTTTGCCAAACATTTATTCCGATCAACAACTCCTCCTCCAACCTCCACGACTACGGCCGTTTCTCCATCCGTAAATCCATCTCCACCGCCACCAAATTCTCTAACTTAATTGATAAATACCTTACCACCTCCACCACTGTCACCACCGCCGTAATCCATGCCCTTCAAGATTGCCAGTATTTGGCCCGATTAAACGTCGACTTCCTTTTAGCGACTTACCGAACAGTCAGCGCCGGTCAAACCTCCCTTCCGGCAACCACGTCGGAACACGCTCAGACGATGCTTAGTGCCATTTTGACCAACACCCAGACGTGCATAGACGGCCTGCAAACCAATGCTGCTTCTTGGACCTCCAAAAATGGCGTTTTTTATCACATTCAAAACGATAACAAATTGTATAGTGTTTCATTGGCTCTTTTTAACAAAGGATGGGGATCTAAAACCAACAATAAGTTCGATTTTTCGAATAGGAAACAAACGGGTTTCGGAAACGATCGATTCCCACGTTTTAAAATGTCTGAACAATCGACGGCGATCTTTGAGACGGTTGGAAATGGGAGGAGAAAGGTGGTTCAGGGTGGTGGCGCCGGCGATGAGGTGGATGTTAGTGATGTCGTTGTGGTTAGTCAAGACGGCTCCGGGAACTTTACCACCATTGCTGACGCCGTTGACTTCGCTCCGAATAAGTCTGCCTCCGGTGCCGGTTATTTTCTGGTTTATGTGACCGCCGGTGTGTATGAGGAGTATGTCAATATTCATAAGAAGAAGAAGTATTTGATGATGATCGGAGATGGTATTAATCAGACGGTAATCACCGGAAATCACAGCGTCGCCGATGGCTGGACCACTTTCCAGTCAGGGACATTTAGTAAGCCACTGCATTGAAATAAATAATGTTTTAATAGATAAAATGTTTACTGTAGCAATCTTTTAGATATATTATACCGGGGTGTTTGGGATTGCTTATCACTTTTTTTCGGTGTGGTATCGGTAATAAGCACTTTTGAGTGTTTGAATAAATAATTTATACCGGTGTCAAACCGGTAATAAGTTGTTTTTGAAGAAGTTAAACTCTTCTGATTTAAAATAAGTTGATAAGTATTTTTGTAGAAAAGAATAAGTTGTTTCAAATAAGCAAAATTAAACACCACCTAACTTTTAGATGGCTTAACATATTACTTTATAAGATTTAAGTTTATAGTACTAATCAATAAAACGTTTTATTTAAAAGTGTTATAAAAGGTTTAATTGGTTGTTGGACGTTTTAACGAGTTTTTATGACATTTTTAACACAAAACATCATATTTGCTGTTTTTATGAATAATTTTTAGAAATGTTCTATGAATACATCTTTTTATAGAACATTTTTTTAATCAGACGCTCTTAGAATTGTGTCTTATAAAAATGTTTTAAAAAACTTGTTATCACGTCGAAAAACATTTTATAAACTTATTACAACACTTTTAAATATGATGTTTTTTTTCTGTTTGGTACTACAAATTAAGTCTTATGAAGCAGTATATAATGACGCCTAGATATTTTTTGACATCCTATAAATTCAATTTTGTTCTAGCGATTATGATGTATAATTTTTTGTTCTTAGAAACATGGACTTGGGATCATGTGAGACTAGACTATTTTCCTGAGACCCGTGAGACCACTCAAATACCACCGAACCTTCATAGCGGAAACACTTTTGTGAAGGTAAACTTCACAGTGTTGTTCTTATAAGGTTCGTTGTTTTTCATACCTTCACAATGAATTGTTGTGAAGTTTTAGTTTTATTTTGTGGTCTCACGACACGTGAACCCAACCCTAAAAACATAATTCCTACAGTTCGGTCTACTACAACATTTGAACATGTTCGAAGTCTTAAAATCGACATTTTTCAAATCCGTGCAGTCGTAGCAGCTCCCTACTTTGTCGCGATGAACATAACGATCCGCAACACCGCCGGACCAACAAAGCACCAAGCCGTAGCATTACGAAACGGAGCCGACTTCTCGACATTCTACCGTTGCAGCTTCGAAGGGTACCAAGACACGTTATACGCACACTCCCTCCGACAATTCTACCGAGAATGCGACATTTACGGCACCGTAGACTTCATATTCGGAAACGCCGCCGTGGTGTTTCAAAACTGTAACATTTACCCCCGATTACCAATGCGCGGCCAATTCAACGCGATCACGGCACAAGGACGAAACGATCCCGGCCAGAACACCGGGACCTCGATCCAGAAGTGTAACATCCGTGAAGCCGACGATTTGGCAGCCGGTGATGGCACGACGGTAACGTATTTGGGTCGACCATGGAGGGCATTTTCTCGAACAGTTTATATGCAATCTTTTATGGATGAATTGATCAGTCCGGCGGGATGGTTGAAATGGTCCAGTGATTCTGCATTAATTACTTTATATTATGGGGAGTTTAATAACTCCGGGCCGGGATCGGAAACTAGTGAGAGGGTTCCTTGGCCGGGATTTCACGTCATCAATGCGATGGATGCGGTTAATTTCACGGCGGCGGTTCTTATTCACGGAGATGACTTTTTGCCCCAGACGGGTGTGCCGTACGATAGTGGGTTATGATTGGATCCATCATGAATTTTTTTCATAGTTCTTTCAATTGTTTGGTTATTAATTAGATTAAATTACAATTTGTTTAAATTCCACTTTGAGTAAAAAATTGATTACCAACAATCTCAACAGGTTCCATACGGAACCCGACTCTAAAGTTATCAACGTGATGAGGCATACTTTGGTTCACCTAGCGGCTGATTAGACATGGCCAAAAATAGGTCCTGGGTTGAAAAAATAACATGCCGGACCAGTCCTGGTGTAACCCGTTAGGGTAACTGGTTCTGGTTCCACCAGGGCCCAAACCGGTTCAATATTAAAAAAACATTTCTTTTGATAAAATTTTTTTAGCAATACTTCATATATTTAATTATGTCATTCAAATATACTTTAAAAATATGTTTTATAGCGAGAATTTTGAAATTTTTTTTGCGTTTTATAAGTTGGTATCTTACCCCATACACCATAACATTTATATAGTGTTTAGGGAGCCAAAACAACTAAAAAACAGTAACATTATGCAAAAAACGATCATATAACGACTAGTTTTCAAGACAGGACGGACCCATAACCCGTCCTATGTGAAAAGTTTCATAATCACATGTGATAAAAACATGTTGCGTTACCAACCATAGAACGACGACCTCTCCGGTGACACTTGGTCATGTTGACCAAGTTGCCCACGTACTTTAAGACGTGCTTTATTGAAATTTCTCATTTTCACTCAAAATTGATTGTCTTCTCATTGTGATATGCCTCCGGAATCATATACCCCTTATTTTCCTTTGCTTTGAAATTTCATATTTTCATTTTGACAATTTAATTCCATACTTCTTGAAATGTCTTCCTATTTAAGTTGTTACAAATACTTGTATATGAATTATACGTGATGGGGTCTTCAAGTATCTTTAGGTAACGGTTGTGTTGGACTTTCGACATCCACCCGATCACCCAATCTCGTGAATACATCCCATCATCTTCCCAAATACGTTTAAATAAGACAATTCATTTCAAATAACATGCATCATTCAGTAAAAATAAGAAGAAAAAATTAAAATACGTCTCCTAATGGGTATTCGACATGATAACTTTTTACACGATTGGTGCGATGATTACGTCAAGAAAGTAACTCAAAACTTCTTGATGAAATCATAGATGTGTTGATTAACTTCTTGGGGCTTTTCTTGATTAATATAATGAGCAACTCCTTCCATAATCACAAGTTCTTGCAAGAAAGGGACATGCTTATTGAATCCCCCTTTGTGTATGAAGTCCTTCACACCAGGGGTGTTATAGGTAAGGTCCAGGTCTCCCACTATAAACTTAACTGGCACCTTTATTTGGACACCAGTCCATGCTGCTGTTAGTTCCCAGTTTCTACAAAAATTGCACACAAAAACACCATCCTTTTAACATAATATATGTGTAACCTTTGACTCTCTAAAAGAGTCCTTATAGCACAACAAAATTCGTCTTATGGTGTGTTTGGTATGCAGACATGATTGGATTGAACTGGACAAGATAGGACTGGACATGATAAGTTGTCTGAGTTTGATACGACTAGTATTAGATAGGACATGACTAAACAAATTGTCCCTTAGGGTGCGTTTGGTACACTGGACAGAACAGAACATGGATCAGTGTTCCACGTTTGACAGATATTTTATTTGAACAGAGTGAAATAGTGGATCAGGCATGTTCCACCTCTACCCATGGAACAAGGTGGAACAAACATACATTTTTCTAATACAACCTCAAAATAAAAACTTAATTTTCTTCTAAAACATCAAATATGCCTCCCTCTTTACCTTTTATTCATTCTTTAATTTTATTTATTGTATTTTATGTTCTTTAAACTTTCAGTTTCTATTCAAAATATTATTTTTATAAGATTTTTATATTTTGATTAATTTATGTAATTTATTAAATATTAATAATAAAAAATAATATAGAAAATGTATAAAATAAAAATTGAAAGCTACATAAACTTTTATTTCGATGTCATTTTAATCGTCTTGACAAAAAAAATATTTTATTATAACTTAATAAATTACATAAAGTAATCAAAATAAATAAACAGTTCATTAGGGTAAATCGGTCATTTTATTTGTTCTATCATGTCCAGATTTGTCTTACCAAACACTGAAAGGTTGTTTTGTCCTGTTAGTCTTGTCTTGTCTTGTCTCGATATTGAAGGGTTGTTCTGTCCTGTTATGTCTTGTCTTGTCTCGATACCGAACACTCTTAAAGTTGTTTGATAATTTTATATGTCATATAGTAGTCATAATCAAGTAAATATTTAAAAATTTTAATTTATAAACCTTTTTCCACAATTTTCATATCAATAAATACATACATATATAATAGTGTCAAATTTGATAATTCGGAAAACCTGGTTCGTACAAAAGAAAAACTATGTTTTTGTTCGGTATGGAAGATCTTTATGAATTGAGGGTAGATTAGTAATGTTTTAAGTTCTTGTGTCATCCTTGTCCCTTCTTGTTCCATCTATTTTAGTAGAACAAAAAAAAGTCTTTTTGGTCCCATCCGATCCCAGTCCCATGTCGCACTAAACATGGAACAGTGAGTATTTGTCATGTCCTATGCCACGCCAAACGTGGGACATTGACTTTTGTCCTGTCCAATCCGATGTACCAAACGCAGCTATTGCACGCCAAATATGTTCACATTTTGTAATAGACTACTTACAAGACTTGGGAAGGGAACTTACAAGTCCAAAGCTCGATAGTAGTTCAATCCACCGGTGAAGCCTGTGCGGTTAAAGCTGGTGGCATAATAATTCACGTCGTCTTCGGATAACCATGAGGGAAGTGTGATCTTAGAATTGGGGTTACCCCCAAGTCCGACTTCTTTAGGGACACAAAGCAGACCTGGATTACGGGATGCGAGAAACTTTTTTATGACTAGTGCAGTATCTACACGTGCAAGCTCTTCTTCTGCCTCTCCAGGTTGCTGCATCGAACAACAGTTGACAGACCCGTAAACAACATATCTGGTCAGAGAAAACCTATGGGTTATATGTTATGATCAAATGGCAATTTTGCATTCTTGATCCAAGCTAGGAATCAGACTTAATCATTGTAAAATATGAGCATCTCACAATTAACCAAAGGATCATTGGCCTAACAGTATTTTGTATCCGTGTTACCAGCCTACCCAGAGGTAAAGGGTTCAAACCTTGCCAAAGTGTCATTAACCAAAGGGTCATTGGCGCGGCTATACCCAAGTAGGTGTGAATATTTGTCGTATATAAATACTATATAATTCAAAAAGTTCATCTGAAATTAGTGATTGGTCCTCTTCTTTTAAACATAGGATTAGCAAGAAAAATAGCCATAGCCCAAACTGTTGAGACCGAGCCAGTGACTCTAGCAACCACAAGCTAGAGTTATAATGGGTATCCCCCAGAAGTTATAAGGGGAGTCCGGAAGGACGTACCCATGTTCATCTAATACCGCCTCCTCAATAGGAGCAATGATGTTATCATTGACTATGATTATCTAACAGTTCAAGTACGGTTGATAGAGTTGAAACACAGTCAAACTATGGTCTTGGGGGAAGGAATCAAATTGAGCAGTCCAGATTTCCGAATGGTCCTTTGTATTTACATAAATTTCTGTGTTAAGGTACTTTCAAAAGCAACTTTTAAAGGGGTGGTCTGGTCTAACTCTCAACATTGCATGTGAAAGGCCCGAGTTCCTTGCAATTGAGTTGAAAACACAAAATAAACACAAAAGTTCTAATGAAAAAGTAAGATTTTCAATCCAAATTCGAGTTTATCCATGGCAGCCTTCAATTTTCCCTTTTGAAGAGCGTAATCACAGCTAGAAGTAAAGGGAATACGTAATAACTTGTCTCTTTTTTCCCTCTAGAAAGATCCCAAAACCAAACCTTAAGTGCAATTTCTGCCATCCATTGAAACCATCCATGGTGATTCACTACGCATATCAATGGTGGAAGTTCAATTGAGTGACGTTTCCAGAACTCTTACTTATATATAATGAATTCAGTATTATATGATGTAAACAATGTGGTCGGGCAACCGTATAAGAAGTCAAAGTAACTATTTCCTCCCTATTGATCATCCAAATACAACAAATGCTAGAGGATCATGAAGGCAAATATTTAATCAGAATTGGAAACTTAAGAGTGAATTTGAATGATTACGATTGAAGATAAATCTAAATCAAGTATGAGCGATGTTTTCGGATTACCTGAAATCTGCATATGTAATAATCGTTTCCAAACATGGCGCGCATCGATTCAATTGGTTTTCTCACCGGATTTCTGGGACTAAATACAACACTCATATTAACCAACGCCTTAATCCGATCAGGCCGTAACAAACAAAAGTACCAAGCTATGATGGCTCCCCAATCGTGGCCAACAAGAAACACCTGGTCCAGACCTAGGGCGTCGAGGAGCGACACCAAATCGCCGACTATGTGAAAGGCGGAATAGTCGGCGGCGGAAGGAGGAGCGTCGGTCTCTCCGTAGCCGCGAAGGTCAGGAGCGATTGTTCGATAACCAAGGGCCGAGAGATATAGCATCTGGTGTCTCCAGGAGTACCAGAGTTCGGGAAAACCGTGGAGGAATAGAACCGGCAGACCATCGCCGGCGATCTCAGCTACGTGCATATTTATTCCGTTAACGCGTATCTTAGTGTGCCGTATAGCTTCCATATTGCTGTTATCTTCCTACTCTTCAGTCTCAGATGAATGTGTACAAACGAGATCTACTCCTAATCGGCCCGCCATGGAAGATGGAAGCTTTAGCCTCCAAATTATTTTCGTTGGAGAAACTTTAGTTTTTGGTCCCTGAACTATGTGATTTTTAATGAAACTGATCCTTAATTATATTTTATAATAAATTTATCTTTGATGCATGCATATCAACTCGCTTTGGTCCGCTTCACTATTGACCGTTATCTTTTTCTGTTAAATGCAAGTTAAATGAGGGATGTTTTAGTGATTTTATACTTTTTAAAATATTTTAAAGAAATAAAAATATTATACATATACATGTGTATGTATATATGCATGTATGTATATATATTACATTAGGGAAAGATTCATTTGAGAAGTGGTAAATATTTGAGAAGTAAAAAAAATTGATCATAGTTTTTCATCTTGTCAATATTTACAGTTTTGACTGTGAAGCACTAGATTACTCCTTTCACGTGTATGCGAAAAATAGAGAGATAATTACGTAACTTTTACAAATATGTGGCAATCAAGTTCATATACAAGCTCGTGTGATTCACATGTGAACTCGTGAATTAGTTTACATTTGAACTATTTAACTAATGTGAGTTTATATATCATATGTGAATCGATGAATTAGTTCATATGTGAATCCGTTAATTAATTCATATGTGAATCACACGGGTTCATGTATGAATCAGTTAAAATAGTTCATATGTTATTTTTACGAGTTCACATATGAACATATAGTTCATATATGAATCCATTTGTCGTTTATTTGTAAAAGTTACAAAACTATCTTATCTATTTTTCAGATACCCATAATTATTGACCAGTCAGAACCGCAATAATTAAACTATCAAATCCTATCTTGACTGTATGAAAAGCTAAGATCACTTCTTTACTTCTCAAATATTTACCGTTTCTCAAAATAACATTTGGCTATTACACTATATTATATATTATATAAATATTAAAAACAAAAAATTAGCTCGTCATCCCCCACACCCCCTCTTGTTGATTCGTCAATGAATAAAGTGATTAAGGGGCTGTTTGTTTGGCTCTTAATGGTTACATTAAGAGCCAACCTCTTAATCGGTAAGAGGCTAGGACTGTTTGGCAAAAAAAAAACTCCTCTTAATGGTTACAATAACCTCTTAACCATTTTGCATCTACTACCTCACTAAACCATTCAGACGTTGATTTTTCCAACTCTGCCCTCTCAAGTCGTTCTTCACATCGCATCCCCCTCCATGGTTCCAGTCGCCGGCCGTCTCCATTCGCCGGCCGTTTCCATTCGCTGGTCTTCCCCCTCCCATCGCCGGTCTTCCCCCTCCAGTTGCCGGCCGTCTCCTCGTTCCTGTCATCGTCTCTGTTGTCTTCCATCGTCGGTCCTCCTCCCACGCGAGATCCTCGTTCCTGTCATCGTCTCTGTTGTCTTCCATTGTCGGTCCTCCTCCCATCGTCTCTGTTGTCTTCTACATAATCGATTTGATCGATGGTGGATTAGGGCTGTTTGAATGAACTTAGGGTTGTTTGAATTAGATAATCGATTTCTCTCGTTGGTGGATTAGGGCTGTTTGAATGAACTTAGGGCTGTTTGAATTAGATAATCGATTTCTCTCGTTGGTGGATTAGGGCTGTTTGAATGAACTTAGGGCTGTTTGAATTAGATAATCGATTTGATCGATGGTGGATTAGGGCTGTTTGAATGAACYGGCTGTTTGAATTAGGGCTGTTTGAATTGGTCGATTTCATCGATTTCTCTCGTTGGTGGATTAGGGCTGTTTGGTGGATTAGGGYTGTTTGAATGAAAGAGTAGAGGCAATGAGAAGAGGGGTAAAATGGTAATTTGATGTCATTCAGAGAACATTTACCAAACAATCATATTTCATTCCGCACTTAACCATTCTGACCCTCTTAACCATTCTGACCACTTAATCATTCTGCACTAAACCATTCAGCAACTGCCAAACAGCCCCTAACTTACCTTTTTTTTAACTTGATTTAACAAAAAATATAAGAACCGTTAATGACAAGAACCAAAATAAGACGATTTTGAATACATGAAAGGCAAACTTTTAATAAATAAAGACTAATGACCATATTCATCAAAGATAACATAGTTAAGGGACCAAAACCAAATTTTCTCTTTTCTTTACAATAATAGCAAGACATACACATACATTCTATTAAATTATATTCAACCTGCTAGACGAGCCGACTAATCTTAATGCGATCAATTGCTTTTGTGTGTAGTTCGAAGTCACTGCATTTGAACCTTCATGGTTATAAAAGAACTTTTATTTTTCGTTAAGTTCAAACCTGAGACTTTCAGACACTTGTAACTTTTAGAATTCATACTCAAACCAATCAAATGCCACTCATGTGGCTTCAAATAAGTTACCAAACATCTGACTTAATTTTTTATTTTTAAGGAAAACAACAAAACTATCACTCTCAAACTAGAACCCATATTTTGACTTCCTTATCCTTCATCAAAATTATAACTTTTTGGGAAATAAAAAGTATAAAATATATTTGTTACATCACAAATAGTCCCTTCGTTTTAAAACAAATGTCCATGAAAATCTATCGAACAGTTCGGATCAAATCCTGGAGGATAAAAAAGCTAAACGACGTTGTTTGATGAGCCTGCTTAGTATTAGGTAGTTTGTCAGATAAAGGCTCGGGATTCAGAAATGTATAATTATCATATCTTTTAATTAATAAAAGGACAATTTTACTTTTGGTTAGAGTGAAAAAGTTTCATCATCTTATAGTTAAGGATAGAATAGAAAAATAAATATTCACGTTTAAAAATAGATATTTATTTTAAGACAAACTAAAATAGTAACGGATGTTTGGTATTGTTTTTAAAAACAACTTATTGTCTTATTCCGGTGTAGCACCGGTAGTAAGCATTTTTAAGTGTTTGGATAAACAGTTTATACCAGTGTCAAACCGGTAATAAGAAGTTTTTAAAGAAGTTAAACCATTATAACTTATAATAAGTTGATAAAAACTTTTATAGAAAAGCACAAGTTATTGCAAATAAGCAATCCCAAAAACCCTTGTAATGTAGGCATTTATATTGAAACGGATACGACATTAATATACACTGTACATTTCAAAAAGGAAATCAAATATTTGACAACTTATATTTTGGTATCATTTAAGTGAAACATGAATGCTCCACTTTCATCTCATGAAATAAAATGTTATAAACTTATATTTTATTAATATAATCTTGAAATAAAATATTATCATTTTCTAAAATATCAAATAAGTTTTTATTTTTATTTTATCAACTATTTAATTTTTTTTTCTTCTTATTTTGTCATTTTTAAACTTTCATTTACTACCTCAAAGTATTATTTTTATACATTCTTTAATTTTTTTCAATTTATATAGCAATGATAAGCTGATAATAAAAAATTAATTTAAAAAAGATTAAAAAGTAAAATCTGAAAATTAATAAACTTTATATTTGTGTGTAAAACTTAATTGTTTTGGCAAAAACTTTTTACTAGGGGTGTTCAAAAAAACCATTGGACCGCTCAAACCGGCCGAACCAAGTCAAACCAGACCGTTTTTGGCGGTTTGAGCGGTCTGGCGGTCCGGTCTTGTTTGGAAAATAGCAAAACCGGGCGGTCCGGTCCGGTCTGCGGTTTGGAAACTTTTTTGGGCGGTTTGGACCAAACCGACCGCCAAATACATACATACATACATACATACATATATATATATATATATATATATATATATATTTATTTATTTATCTATTTTAATATTAGCAAGCCCAACTTTTCTAACTTATTGACTATGACCCAAATTAACATAATCAAAATCGACGACTAAAACCATTAAACCATTGAACATATCGACACATTTGATATTGACGGTCTCCAAATTTTGAAATCCCTCAAAAACTCTATCAATCTATTGATCTTTCTAATCCATGGTTTGATTTCGACGCACATTATCAAGACATCAACCAACTTAGATTTGGCTTCTATTTTGTTTGGTCAAGACTTAAGAATTGAACCATTGAAGGTTGTGAAGTCGTGAATTTTGTTACTCAATACTCACAGTAGAGTTGTAACTTTGTTAATTTATTTGTTTTCTAATATGTTATATCTTTATATGTTTGTATTTTGGATTGCCTCGACTTTGTACTCAAGAGCTGCTTAATTATTACATTTATTTGATTAGATATTTTTTTGTTAAAATGGATACTTAATCTAAAATTCTAAATTTTATATATATATATATATATATATATTTTAAGTTTAATATAAAGTCCATTAAAGGCCCAAACCGCCTAAACCGGTCAGACCAGACCGCTTTTACTTGGTCTGGTTTGACCGGTCTGGGCACTTGATGTCAAACCGCTCGGTTTGAAAATTTTATAAACCGCCATTACGGTTTGGTTTGTGGTTTGAGGGGTTAAACCGCCCAAACCGGACCGCGAACACCCCTACTTTTTACTGATATATTTTATTATAAAAAATATATATTCTATCATAATTAATAAATTATATAAATTAATAAAAAAAAAGATATATGGTCATTTTACCGGTCGTTGTCTATCGAAACCTAGTCATAGTTGTTCTGTCCTAATAGCAAACGCACCCTGACAAATGAAACCGGTTACCATCATCGGTCATGGTTCTTTATCTGGCAACCGGTTATAACCAGAACTGTACACAACAGGGGAAAAAACCACTAGGTACCAGTTAAGAGGCACGACTGGTTAGCCCATACAGTGATATGGGTACAGGGCTCGAGTCGAAAGAGATTGCAGGGGCCGCAAGGAGCACCAGTGAACTAGAAAAATAGCAACCAAAATATCAAATTTAATCTCCATTCAAGAAATGTGGATATGATAATTTAGAACTCAAAACTCCCTGCTACAAAAAAGGAAAGATGCTAACACCAAAATTTTCATCATATCTTAATTCAAAAAGACAGCAGCATAGAAGCAAGATTATAGAAGTTAACCATCACTTGAAGCACTCCCACCATTGATGATGAATGATTAGTTTCTGAAGCCTCTGCTGTTTCTTCGTCCTCTAGCCTTCTCAAATTTCCTACCATTGGCTCGCACGTATGGCTTCGTATGGCTGTGTGGCACACCAGGTGCCTTTCCAAAGTGCCTCACCGCTTCACGGGAATTCTTTGGACCTCTAAGTAGAACCTGGACCAACCATCCAAAGATACCGAGTCACAACGAAAGAAAAAAAGCAAGCAGTTTGTCCAACTAGAAGGTAAGAGCATCCAAAATGGTATGTTTTTCATGAGGTTTTTCCAATGAAATGGGACCCACAAGCTTAAAGGTCTGTTTGCTAGCAACTTAATGAGCTTAATGGGAATCACAACTTATTCCATGAGCTATACATGATTATTTGGTAGTCGCTTAATGATATAAAAAGTGCCTTATTCAGTAAGATTATATGATGAGCTTTATGCAAAAAGCCAAGTTTTTTTCCAAATATGTTCCTCCTAATTAAAAGAAAACTCCTTTCATCAATGAAGAAATCCTCCCAAACAAAAACATTTTCAATCCATACAAAAAAATAATCAACACATACAACTTTATCCATACAGGACTTGATTAAAAAAACAACCAAACAAGCCTAAGGCTGTATTTGGTACATTGGACAGGACAGGACGGGACAAAACTCACTATCCCACGTTTTGTGCGACACGGAACAGGAACAAGAATTGGGACAAGATGGAACAGCATGGACAAAAAAGGCTTTTTCTTTTTCTTGTTCCACCTAAGATGGGACAAAAATTAAAATTTTACTAATTACCCTCGTTTGATATATAACTTTAACATGATATTTGTTTTAGTGGTCACCATCGCTAATTGCAACCACCGCTGCTACCGGTAGCCACCATTGGCCTCCTTCACCACCTCCAGAACCACCATCGACCACCTACCAACAACGTTGGCACCTCCACCTTCTCTTTTACTACAACAACCTCCTCCACCACCAACACAACCATCATCGGCCCAACCAACACCATTCATTGCCACCACCATAAGCCATCTCACCTCCACCTTAACCACAATCATCGGCTACCACTACCACTATCTACCATATCGTTGCCCTCCACAACCACAACCGTCCATCTCCACCACCACTGCCCACCATCATACCTACCTCCACCACATAAACCACAACTACCTCCTCCACTGTCAACCGCCAAGATCACCACCATCCACCATCTTCACATCCACCACAACCACTATTGTCCACCAATTACCAATGTTTCTACCTCCACAACCATTGTTGTTGCAACAATCTTCAACATGCCTTCATCAATTGATAAGGATCTTCCAAACCGAATAAAACATAATTTCTCCTTTGTATGAATCGGGTTTTTTCAAAGTACCATCAATTATATAAAAAAATTCATTCAAATTTGATACTATTTTATATTTATGTATATGAAAATTGTGTAAAAAAATTATAAATTAAATTATTTAACTTTATTTGTGTTAATTATAACTATTATATGTTCTATAAAATCATAAAATAACTTTTGGACGCAATTTATCTAGGTTTGTGTTGTCCAGTCCTAGTCGTACCAAACACTAGACAGACACTTGTTCTGTCCAGTCCTCTCATGTCCGGTCCTACCCTCTTGTCCTATCCAATAATGTTTGCGTACCAAAGCCTACCCAAGTGTCCTAGAAAAATAGGTTATTGGAAGCTTGTATGGTTACCAGTAAAAAAGGGTTTTTAGACGGAGCTTTTTCACAATATGGTTAGGCCAAAAAGCTTTTTAATGAACTCTCAAAAAGCCTCCATAGTTAATGCTCTAAGGTATGGGTACAAAGGTGGGATGTATACAGACATGTTCACCAAGACAAAACGTAGAGAGGTTGCTTCTACAAATACCATGAAAAAGGCATGATTGAGAAGGATGGCAAAATAAAGACTAGTAAATGAGTATGCAACGGGAAAAGAAAAAGGTATGGAGGTTGTAGGACTCTTGGTAAACTATAACCCCACCATCAACTTCATTAGAAAATCAATGATGTCGAGAAAACAACTCATGAATTATATAAAAACTTAGAATTTACACATTTACTAAAAGCTCTATGACGCAAACAATGCTGCTTCAAATCAATGAGAATGCATGATGAGCTCAAATGCACAAGAATCTATCGGGGATTAAAATATTGGTTGATATAAAATGAAACACACCACACATCAACTGAGATAATCAGGGAATGATTAGCATACCGTGTTCTGCCCAAGAGGAGCTCGGAGAGCAAGTTGATCAAAAGTCAAACATTCTCCGCCAGCCTTCTCGATCCTAGCCCTTGCAGTCTCGCTAAACCTCAAAGCAGTGACCTTCATACAAGGGATTTCATGCACCCTGACATCATCGGTGACTGTACCAACAATCACAGCAATCTTGTCGTCCTAATTAAACAACATTAACGATCACAGTCACATAAAATAAAGATGGCAAACAATTAAATCAATTCAATTACACCATTTCCCTCAATTATGAATTCGAATTTGCTGGATCTTATTCTCTATTTCTCCATGAATCAAGCATTCACAACCCACAATTACACTTCATTATTGAACCAACTTAACAAAATTACTAGAAGAGCCAGCAAGAATAAGGTCTAAAGAACAAGTTTTCACTACAGTTTGTTAAATCTTATTAATCCCAGATGAAGAAAACAAAATTATCCTATCCTATCAAATCCAATCAAAAGCAGTTACTTTCAAGTTCAAAATTGAAGAACATCTACAAAGCTACTATAACATATTTAAAATAAGAGATATGTGCTCGGATGAAATAACCTCCTAATTATAACACAAGATGATCGAAGACACAAACACATACAGGAACGAAATTGCAAAAAGAATACCTTGCCAGACATGTAACGAATCAAGCGAGAGAGAGAAATTGGCGGTTTGTTCACTTTGCTCATAAAAAGCCTCTTCAGGATCACCGCATTGAAGTTGCTTCCTGTCCTCCTCACCAAAAACCGATAAAGCTGATCCAATTTTTAAACAAATGTTACTCATTTTCAGTAAATCAAAACAAAACGAAATCAAAAACAGTGGAGTCTGATGCGTGTAAAAACCTTGACGAGAAGCTTAAGGTAGATATCATCAGACCGAGGTGCAGTTCTCTTGGTCTTCTTGCTTTTTCCACCAGCAACAAGATCTATACCCTGGTATCATCAAACGAATTAAATCCATTAGAATAGAATAGAAATAAAACGCAAATTGAAAACGGAAATCACTAGGGTTCAGGCGAATTGAGAATACCATGACGGCGACGGCTGCTTGTACCTGCAAAAAAAATGTGGTAACGAAGAGGAAAGGAAAACAAGTTAGGGTTTATGAACACCACGATGGAAGTAGCACCTCTATGTAGATAGACTGGTCCGCGAAGCCTATATTTGGGCCGGATTTTGAGTGGGCTGAACCATCAATAATATAATATGGATACCAAAGGTCCAAAAACCAGATTTTGGCCCATGAATTTTAGGTCTATTATTATAACTAGGGAGGGTGCTTAAAATCCCGACCAACCCGATCAACTTAACCTAACATGACATAACCCAACCCAAAAAAACTAATATCTAATAGAGTTGTAAAATTGTCAAATCGTATGTATTGGATTGATATTGGATTACTGTTATTTGAACTCAACCCGACGAAACCGACATCCTTTTATTTCTTTGATTTAATATGATTATTGAATTTCTACTAATATACACATTAGACAATTACACTATCATGTATGTTTTTCATATACACATATTTTTAATCCATTCACATATCTATATAACTCATTCATGTATATGTTTAGTAACTTTGAACATATATAGGTAAATTGAGGAAATTTAGCTGAATGTGATATACGTAAGAAATATGGATAAGTAGTATCAAATGGTGAAAAATAAATTATGAGTATATAAATAACATATTAAAGGTTAGAAAAAAAAATTTAATGTACCAAAGTATCAATCCGACTAACTCGACCAACCCGTACGGGTTGGGTTGGGTTGCACTTTGGGTTGGGTTGGGTTGGGTTAAGATTTTTTAAACCGCAAACATTGGACTGGGTTGTTCAAATGTCTTCAACCGAATCAACCCAACCCACAAGCATCCCTATTTATAACTATTAAAGATTTATAGTGCATAGGGTGTCTATATTATGTTTGTTATGGATTCAATCTTTTTGGTATTCAATTTGTTATGGTTATAGTCTACATTTGATTTTTCTACACCATTTTTTGTCATTTTCCTCTTAAAACAATATGTATATACAGTATTATATATATACACCATTTATATACAAAAGATTGAGAGGTGCAAAAAAATATACTCATCTTCAGGTCAATCATAATTGAATGTCAACATTAGCGAGATGCACTGGATTAATTCATGTCTAAAGCACAATTCATGAGTAGATATGAGATCAAAAGCGATCAAGGGTGCAAATCTATTCTTACGCTTCTCACACAATCTTTCGCCTATATACATAAATGAGAGATCCTTCTACCCTAACCACTTCCCTCTACATTATCTCGAAGACATCTTCGTCTTCCTTGACTATGAGACTAGCCACCATCCCCCCCCCCAGCTGCAACATACAGCACGCATTGCAAATAGATAACTATTACAAGAACAAGATAGATAGAGATATAAAGGAATGGGTGGAGGTGATCTCCACGGGCTATGGATGAGAATTGACATATGAGGTCTAATCTATAAGAGCAGCGTGGAGATAATCATTCTCTCAGCTACTTTCACGAGACATATTACTTGTTTGTCCCATATTAACAACCTAGTCGGAGACGAAAATACCATTTGTTGAAAACCCCATTGAAGAGGACGTTGCGTATGTCATATTTTCACGTTTGAGGAAGCCAGAGATGGAGGCCAATCAACGGAAGGGGAGGGGAAGGAATGCGTAACATCTTTATGTGTGTGCATATAACATAATTAATATTGTATTTTTAATAAAAACAACGAAAAAAAAGGTAAGAAGACAAAAATGCCTCTTGACTCAACTGAGTTAAGTAATTATGTTAGTCAGAAGGACCGTGGCTGTACAAATTGAATAGCACATGGATCAAATCCATAATAAACATAGTATAGGGACTATAATCACAAAAAACTTAAAAATATAGGGACCAAATCCGTAATTCACTCTAATTATTATCATTATTTTATGATTGAATATGACGGCATTTTATAATTAAGAAAATTATACCGACAACTGTCAATACTTGGCACCTCTCTGTCCGTACAAAATAATGATTCAGCAACTCCACTCTCCTTCCCATCCAAATCCCCTCCGTATCTAACGGTTCCGTCAATCTTTCCGTCACCGTTACTCTACCATCGGAAAAAGTAAAACCGATGAACTCCTCCAAGTCGCGCCGGAAAATCGTCCCGACTTCATTGGAAAATGGTGAATCAGGTGACAAACTTGACCAGCTCCTGCTTTCTTCCGCCATATGCAACGGTGAAGAGCTGTCGCCTTTCATCCGTAAAGTCTTCGCCACAGGTAAGCCTGAAACTTTAATTCACCACCTACGTCACTTCTCTAGGTCCAAAGAGGCCGAGATCGAAGAAGTCTGTAAGGTTCACTATCAGGATTTTATCATGGCCGTCGATGATCTTCGTTCTCTGCTCTCCGATGTCGATTCTCTTAAATCATCTCTCTCCAATTCGAATTCTCAATTGCAGTCTGTCGCCGGGCCTCTGATAAACTCTCTGGATTCTTTTCTGGAAGCTCGAAACAAGTGCCAAAACATAACTCTAGCTATCGAGTCTCTTCGGACTTGCGTTCGATTAATGGAAGTCTGCTCTCGAGTGAATTTCCATATGTCGAAGAACAATTACTACATGGCGTTGAAGTGTATGGACTCAATCGAGAGAGAATTTACGGATAAGACACCGTCGTCTACGCTACGGAGAATGCTCGAAAAGAAGATCCCGGCGATCCGAACTCACATTGAAAGGAGAATCAGTAATGAGTTTGGAGACTGGCTTGTTGAGATCCGTACAGTTAGCAGAAACTTAGGGCAGCTTGCCATTGGACAAGCCTCGGCTGCTAGGCAGAGAGATGAAGAGCTAAGGATCAGGCAACGACAAGCTGAAGAACAGAGTCGGCTTAGCTTGAGAGACACTGTGTACGTTCTTGAAGAAGACGACGACGACGGTTACGCGAACGGAAATTATGGTAATGACGGTTATGCCACCGGTGGTAATGGTAATGGTATGCTAGGGTTTGATCTGACTCCATTGTATAGAGCTTATCATATTCATCAGACTCTAGGGCTTGAAGATCGATTCAAACAGTATTATTTTGAGAACCGGAAGCTTCAATTAACTTCAGATTTTCAGGTATCTTCCATGACACCTTTTCTTGAATCTCATCAGACATTCTTCGCCCAAATTGCTGGTTTTTTCATAGTTGAAGATCGTGTTTTAAGAACTGGGGGTGGATTGATATCAAAAATGGAAGTAGAAAGCTTATGGGATACTGCTGTTAGTAAAATGTGTTCAGTGTTAGAAGATCAATTCTCTAGGATGCGAACTGCCAATCATTTGTTGCTTATTAAGGATTATGTGAGTTTGCTTGGTGTTACTTTGCTTAGATATGGTTACTCCATTGATGCATTGCTTGATGTTCTTGACAAGCACAGGGATAAGTATCATGAGTTACTGTTATCAGATTGTCGTACCCAAATTGCTGAAGCAGTTGCTGCTGATAAGTTTGAGCAAATGTGGATGAACAAAGAATACGAGTATTCGATGAACGTGCTGTCTTTTCAGATACAAACCTCCGATATTACACCGGCATTCCCCTATATCGCCCCATTTTCATCCACCGTGCCCGATTGCTGTCGAATTGTGAGATCTTTCGTTGAAGATTCTGTTAGTTTCATGTCTCATGGTGGTCAGCTTGATTTCTATGAAGTTGTGAAGAAGTACTTAAACCGGCTTTTGACCGAAGTCCTGGATGCCGCTCTGTTAAAGCTTATCAATACATCCATCACCGGGGTCAATCAAGCAATGGTTGTTGCAGCGAATATGGCCGTTTTTGAACGAGCCTGTGATTTCTTATCGCGCCACGCTGCACAGCTTTCCGGAATTCCTTTGAGAATGGCAGAAAGGGGCAGGCGGCATTTCCCACTGATGAAAGCTCGCGACGCTTCAGAACAGATGCTATCCAGTTTGCTTAAAAATAAGGTAGATGGTTTCATGACCCTGATCGAGAATGTCAACTGGATGATCGACGAACCTCCTCAGAATGAAAATGAATATGTCAATGAGGTCATCATCTTTCTCGAAACCCTTCTTTCCACCGCACAACAGATATTACCCATTAAAGTCCTCAAACGAGTCCTACAAGTCGTTCTTTCCCACATTTCGGAGACAGTCGTTAACTCTTTAGCCGGCGAATCTGTCAAAAGATTCGGCATAAATGCTATTATGGGTATCGATATTGATGTCAAATTATTGGAATCCTTTGCTGAAAACCAAGCTTCTCTTGTATCTGAGCCAGAAGCTAATGAGTTGAAACTTGCACTTGTTGAAGTGAGGCAATTGGTAAATTTGCTTCTAAGCAATAACCCAGAAAACTTTTTGAACCCAGTAATCAGGGAAAGAAGTTACCATGCTTTAGATTACAGAAAAGTGGTGATCATTTCAGAGAAGTTAAAGGAACCAACTGAGAGATTATTTGGAACTTTTGGATCAAGAGGAAACAAGCAAAATCCAAAAAGGAAGTCTTTGGAGTCTCTGATTAAGAGACTCAAGGATGTCAACTAAAACAGGTACATACTTTACTTTTACTTTTAAAGGGAGGATCAAACGAGAATGGGTTTTAAGTAAGAAAACACGAGAACATGTCAAATCATGTGATTTTATACTGAAATCACGTGTGATTATGGAACACGGTCAACGCAAGAGTGTGTGGGCAACTTGGTCTTTGACATTGCTTAACCATATTGTGATTTTACTAGTAATTTTAGTGTAAATTCACATGTGATTACGGGACACGGTCAACGAAAGGGTGTGTGGGCGACTTGGCCTGCGACAATGCGTAACCATGTTATGATTTTACATGTAATTTTATGTAAATTCACGTGTGATTTGGTTGTTATCGTGTTTTTTTGTTTGATCATTGTTATTTGAACTCAGATCACAAACTTCATATATTTTCTTTTTCCAAATTTGTAAAACAGTTTGTCATTCAAATTTGTTATGTATTCATTATTGTATTTGGATATTTAGTCAATAAAACATGTTTTTATGTATTGGGTTCGGTTGGTTTAGGGATTGTTTACCAGTAAGAATTACTATTCTCACTGTTCTTATTGGATAAAATTCTTGTTAATCAAAATGACATTATATGCAACAATTGATGAATAACTAATATGGTAAAAAGTTGATTACCATCAAATCCAATTGTTTCATACATAATCCGTTTCCAAAGACATAAGGTTGGGGGGGGGGGGATTTTTTAACTCATTCAACGGTTTAGGTTAGCGAGGGGTCTGGGACCGAACCAAGAACCTGTTTTGTATTTGGATAAAGTTATCTCACTCTTTTGCCAACTGATCTACGCGTCAAATGCTACACGGTAAAAATTATAGTTATAAAATTTGAATGTGTTAGGTGAATAATCATTTTTATAGTTATACACAGACTGGTTTGATGTAATTCCGGTCTTAATTGTTGTGAAATGATTCTCCTTGTATTTGGAACTCTTGAGAATGGATTTAAAGTTGCCAAATGTTTTGGTGATATATATGCTTAAGAATTCAATTTTAACTATTCAAAGGGTGTTTATCTGTAACACCTCAAAGCAACAGGTTGTTTCAATAATTTTAAATGCAATCAAAACCATGGTGGAAGTTATTAGTAGCTTATAACTTGAGACTTCTAAAAAACTTACAAATCTTATTTTGTATCCGTATCACTATATGGGACGAGTTGTTATATCATCAGATAAGCAATTACTGGTAATTGGTAAGAGACATCACCACCATCTATCTTATTGTATAACATTATTGACCATCAAAATGGATTGTTGTTAAACATCAAAAAGTTTGATAAACATTTACCGAATAAGACATTTGGTTAGTGTTATATCTTTTACCGGGTAAGATTTTCAGTCATTGATAAGGTGATTAGGTGAATATTAATATGATGTAGCTCATGTGTAATACAATATAATATAATATAATAATAGAAATTATTTTAATTTTCGAATCAAATATAAAAGAATTGATTGTGTTGAATCCAAATACAACTTTAACTGGTATTTTTTTGTTGTGATTTTTAAAGTTAAAAAATGTGTCATTTCTTGTATAATTGAATTCATTTTCTTTATCAATAAACATGGAGGTTATATAATAAATAATAACTTAAAACAAAAAAATAATAATAAGAAGGAGAAGAAGAATAAGAATAAGAAATTGTATTTTAGTTTGACCGTAAAAACGACCTTATCACAATAAAATTGATTAAAACAATAATAATGTTATGGGTTGTTTTACAGTTCCTGAATGATTTGGTACATAATGATTAATAAGCTTTTATGATATAATGTAAAAATAAAATATGGTTGTTTGGTAATTGTTTGGAAAGAGATTAAGACACTGAATGGTTCAGAGAAGCCCAATATACAAATTCATTTAGAGGGTTTTAGAATCATTAAGAGACGAATTTTTTTCGTCAAACAAGATTCATCTTTTAGGTTGTCTCTTAATGGAACTATTAAAAGGTAAACAAACATCCCCTTAAATAATAAACTTATTATATAAATAAATTTACAATATAAGTAACGACTTCTTTAAAATAAATAACTAAAAGTTAAAAAATATAAATAAAATTAAGTAACTTCGACGGATTCTTTAATTTGAGAAATTCATGATTCCTTATATTATTAAAATATTCTAATGTTTTTATCATCATAATGTACTTTTTTAAAAATTTGATAAAATGATAATAGTCTGATGATTAATCTCATTAATGAAAATGAATAAAAAAAATATTTCTCTCACCTTCAATTAATTTTTATATAATTCTTTAAGATTAAATTTTCATCTATTTTAAAGAAAACTAGAAGGGTATTCGCACAATGCAGCAAGATACATCTCGATTTTAATGTTTCGTCTTATTTATTTTTGTCTTAGCCGATGTTATAATACAGTTTTACGTGGTTTTAAGAAAGCGATAACGTTTTTATTTTTAAATAAAATATAAATATGAAGATATTATAAAAAATTAAAAAAAATATATTTATATTAGTACAAACTAACTATTTAAGATTTCTCGTTTTTTTTATATTTCTTTAATTCATTTTATATTTATTTTTGTTTTAATAATATAATTTTTTATAAAGATAATAATTAAGTATTTTGTTATAACTCAATGATTATCATAATTATATTTTAGATTTTTTATATTTAAAATGAGATGTTTATCCTCTATCTAATTATGTTTATCTGCAGTTAGTTACACAAATTCAAACATGAAGCTTTAATAAGTTGTACTTACGCTCAGTTTACTTGTAATCTTGAATTTTAAGTAATATGCATCAATAAATAGTACTTCATGAATAAAAAAATGGTTTTTACGAGTTTTTGCCAAATGCTTTATAATATACTATAGATATGTTAAAACATAATAGAGCATAAAACCTCTATTTTCTGTATTCGAGATAATCTCTTGAAGATGCCCTGACATCTGTATAGAAAAAAAATTCAAAAAATAATTATAAACAAGTTTTTGATTAATTAATAATAAATATTACTATAAATTTATTAAATAATAAAATATAGTTGTATTTGTATATTTAATATAAACAGTAAT